GCGTGAGGTAGACTGGGGCAGGAAGGCATTCCATGTCGATGGTCTTGGGGCATGCTGAAGACATGGCGTTTGTACTCAACGCCGTAAGTTTATACTGAAATTTCGGCCTGTTCTTTCTCGGCCGTTATCATATGACAGTTTTCCCTGAGACCGATTTGTACGCGTTCGACGCGTTGCCGTGTACATGCAGCCATCCTTGAAAACTTCTGGGTCGCTTTAAGCTACAGGCCTGAAATATTTCGGATAGTACACGGGCAATCAAGCACTGAACCACCGGGGATGTCCAGCATCGATTCATCCTTCTAACCACAGGACGTATACTATATACAGGACACCGAAAAGACTATCCTCGACCGGTCTAGCGCCGGTAGAGGTCAGAGCTTTCATGAACAAAACGCAAGATAGTGGGTTAGAAACCCACAACTGCCATAAATCTTAAAAAAACTCAGGCACGTACATCGCTACGCGTTAGACATTTGCAGGTCTTCATCAGAGCCGACTGACATCTGGCAACACCTGGAAAAAAACCGCCGGAACGCTGTGTACAAAATGACGCAGCCAAAAGGAGCAATAACAAATATGTCATCTACACCAGTGTCAACAAGGCGCGGACAGCTCATTTGGTTCAAGGACGTTATCCTCCGCTTCACCCGTCCGTGGGGTGCGTGGGTGGGTTCAAGTCGCTTCAGGCGCTTCTTCTTTGCTCCTGACTGGAATGGTCTGCAGCCGGGGCAGCTGCCGCGTTCAAGTTCAGATGACGTCCGAGGACAGGACGGACCTTGCCGAGTTCTGCAGCGCCTCAACCTTTCGCCTCAAAATTCTACCTTTGACTCGGAATTTGACGATGGAGTGGTGTGATCGGGGCTCACACAACAAGCACGGCTTGGCGTGGGCGCTGCTTCAGAATTATCCACCCGAAAGGTTTGGACTAAATCTAAAATACGTAAGGCAGACGTCGAATAGGACCGTGTTGAGCTGGCGGGCCTCAGATAATAGGACGCGCTCGTTTGAGGCCCAGTGGTCCGATGGTCCGTGCCCTGCATGTCAGGCACCGAGCTGATTGTTGCATAAGTCACGACCGCAGCACTCCGTGCCCTAGTGTCTAAGCCTTGGAAACGGCGCTTAACACCGGAGCTGGTGATTCACGGCGGATGACTGGCTCGTGGCGCGCATGAGTCACACCCTCTCGAGCGGAGAGCGGAGACGACCAGTCGTTCTCGATGCGGCTGAGAAGCCACTGGCCCCAGAGGGTGATCACGAGTCGACACTCCAATTTATTATGATGTGAAGCTGTAGGTATTATGCACATGCATGTATATGTATAAATAAGTAAATAAATCAGTGAACATGGAAATATCTAAAATGCATGTTTTTTCAGAATGGCGTGTTGGATTAAGAGCATGCATAGCCGCTCCTTAATAACGCAATAAATTGTTTTGCATACACACACACACACATATATATATATATATATATATATATATATATATATATATATATATATATATTTCCTGCCTTTCCTTCAAAAAGCTCGTCAATGCTGAGTCAGCAGTTATTTTTAATCAAACATGCATCAAAGAAAGAATTCTGCCAATATATTCCAATATATATATATATATATATATATATATATATATATATAAAACAAAGCAGCAGACCGAACGTGGTGGCAATCGTTTCGCGGGGAACCCGCCCGTAATAGGATTAACCGGCACTATATATAGCAACCGTACGACGCAGTCACCAAAGATTTACAGTGCAATAAATTATCAGCATTGGCTTCCCAGACGTTTCAAGATTTGTGCATTTGAACAGGAGTCACATAACACAATGCAAGTGATATGACATGGATAATCGAGTGCTGGCTGATGGCATGCGAGCATGAAAGATAATACGCTCTGTGGCGCATGCCAGGTGTTTCGTAAGATGCGGAAGAAGTCTTGTACACCAAATTCGAACCGATTAACTACAGCTCATTTTTTCAGCATTGCCTGCCCCACTAATGTCCATTCGCGGGCAGCGCTGCCTTTCCTTCAATATTCCAATTATTTTAAGCAGTACATTAAGTGCTTATACGAAGCATTTGCCAAGGAGTATGTGAAAAGTGCTGCTGCTGTTCGCTAGGAAAGATCCTCAGCGTGCCAAGCTGCCGCCTCGCCACCGGTACACAGGATTGGCAGACAGCAGACCAGGCCTGACTCGACGCGGCCAAAGTGGCACACGTTGACGGCTATTGCCTGGCGGCCGGAGTGGCCCTCGGGCTGCGCCGGGTCAGCCTCACTCGACACGGGTCACCGCCTGACCCAGCGGCGCGCGGCCACAATCGCACGTTATTATTTCCGCTCGGAGCCCGCTGGCATACGCTTCTATTGTTGTGCGGACCACCGGCGGCGGTTGCGGCGCGGGCTGGCAGCCCGGCGGCGACCGTGGCGCGGGAGGCCAGACGATCTCGGCGCAGTGACCGCAATCGCCGCTCGTGATCCGGCGGTGGGGCGAGCGCTGAAGCGAGAGAGCGGCGTGGAGGACGAGATCGGTAGCAGAGGTTAGATCGATGAGGAGAGAGCCGGCTGCGCTAAGGAGGACGGAAATAATGGGATGTGGGACAGCAGGGGAGCGTGACATCCGCGCGAAGGCTGGCAAATGGAGAGGGTTGGATGCACGCCTTATCCAGAGGAAGTATAATTACTTGTCCACTACACTTTGATGAATGTAATATAGATAGTGGAAATGCATCCGCTCATCTGCGTGTAAAAAACCAAGTGAATTACCGCAGTTGTGTTGTGACAAAATGGCTTATAAATGCTTTATGCAAACAAGGGACGGATAAATATCGCGATTAGGTGTCTGGCAAGCCACCATTTGAATAATAACTGTTTATTGCGTCTAGCTCCTACTACTGCAGTTCCGTACACTTATCAGAATCAGACGCACCAGCTAGGCAGCGTTCTGCTGTCGCATTCAGCACTCCTATCACTAGTGAGAATGATACCAACGCCAATCCTATAGTGGCAGGCAAGGCACATGACGAAAGCAATCTTTGTCAACCACAAAATCGTTCACGCGCGACATTCAATCACTTATCAAGCATAATGTTCCCAGCACTTTTTCTCGGAACATCCTTGATTGATTTGATGATCTACCCATGATTTGATAATCTGCTGACTAGTAGCGTCATTTTCTAACGCCAACCACGTTCGAGCTGCGAAAAAATCTGCTGCCGACTCATCTGTCTGCCCCGCCGCCCGCGAGCTCAAGCTTCCACCGCTGCCCGCCTGCCGACACAGGGCACGACTCTCGCGGCCTGCCAGGGTGTGGCGCCGCGTGCCACCCCGCCACAGGTCCCACGGGCCCGCCGCCGGTCCCGGTCCCACGGACCCGCCGCGGCGGCGCCGACCAGCCGCGCACGCCGCCAGCAGCGGCGCTGTTCTCAGGCGACGGTGGTGGAGCGTGACGGGGCAAGCCGACCGGTGGCAGGGCTCCGTGGACGCCGAGGAGACACTAGAGAATCCGGCGCGGGGACGCCGCGGAGCTCAGGGGCCGGCGGCAGGGCTCCGCCAGCGCCGAGGAGACATCAGAGACTCTGGTGCGGGGACGCCGCGGAGCTCAGGGGCCGGCGGCAGGGCTCCGCCGGCGCCGAGGAGACACCAGAGACTCCGGTGCGGAGACGCCGCGGAGCTCAGGGGCCGGCGGCAGGGCTCCGTGGACACCGAGGAGACACCAGAGACTCTGGTGTCTCCGTGGACGCCGAGGAGGCACCAGAGACTCCAGTGCGGGGACGCCGCGGAGCTCAGGGGCCGGCGGCAGGGCTCCGTGGACGCCGAGGAGACATCAGAGACTCTGGTGCGGGGACGCCGCGGAGCTTAGGGGCCGGCGGCACCAGAGTGGCCGATCAAAAGCGCGAAGGGTATCAAAAGCTTCTGTAAGGAGGGGACCAGAGCGGGGGATCAAAGCGAAGAAGAACATGGGAGGCCGCGGAGAGAGTGAACTGCAGCGGGCGATCAAATGGGAAAACAGCCCCAGAGGCCCCGGCAACGACGGACCAGGATGGGGTTCTTAGAAAAGAGACTTTTGGGGATATGTCCCGATCTGTTCGGAGGTGAACGTTAAAATTGCGCTACAAGTTTGGAGGCGTCTCGCCTAAGAGCTTATGCGTCTTACAATGCCAAAAGGCGTCCTGGGGTTCGAAATGGGGCCAACTGGAGCCGAATTTCGGTGTGACAAGGGGTCAATGATGCCTGGAGGAGCGGGCCGAAGCTGAAATTCAGTGAAGAGCAAAAGTGGAAGCCGGTCGAAGTAAAGCTACGATGCGCATGTTTCTACATATGAGCGGGACAAAACACTGCACGCCGCGTTGTTACCGTTGGCAAATCCGCGTGCTTTCAAGCCTTATATCAGGACATCAAACATCTCGGTCGCATTTGCTTCGTGCCTCCTGTACATTAGTCCGCACGCATACCTAGTTACGACCAGGGCCCTGTGAACTCTGCTCGCTCCGTGTCTAACATCCCGCTATGCCTGGCACGCAACCCAAATCTCGCTTTACGCGGCACATCGGAGTGAGCGTGTACCCGTGTCGGTTTCCGTCCGGTCTGACTGAGATTCTGCATGCATGCGAGTGCGGTACCCAGCCACATGCGACCGGCAGGCGACATACTTTCCCACGTGAACAATGGCTGCGACTGGAGACAGGCGGAGAGAGTGTGCGATCGCGGGGGAGGAAGCGCTGATGGAAAGTCGGCCTGGCTCGCCAGCAGCGCGATCTGACGGTGCTTAGACCGGGCAGAAAGTGCTGATGGAAAGGGATTGGAGCGCGCAAAGAGCGCAGTACTGCCAGATCTGATAGCAACTGTAATGACAATGTCATTTTACGCAAGCTATTCGTCGGATCCAGCGTGAGTCTTTAAATGCGACGTTAGTGGAGCGAATGCATGCATCCACTTAAACCCATAACATCAACACATCAGACTCGCCGAGATGCACGGAAAGCCGGCAGTACTCACAGACGATCTCAATGAGGTCGGAGAGAACGACGCCCGAGTGGAGGTCAGCTCGCAGATCCGTCACGAGCTTGTAGCCCTCCTTCTTCCTCAGCTGCGAGTTGACCCACGCCACATACGCCTGCGGCGACAGAAGACTCCCGTCATGATAACGATCGTATAGGACAACGAGGCTGAGGGAACACGAGTAGGCTGTTGGTATCTGGCAGGATGGCATGTCAGTTGTGCACCCGATATGGGAAATATGTACATTTTTGTGCTCCCAATAACATACACCCCAACAAAAACCTCTCCCATGGCAAGCTTCATCTTGTGCCTCTCACTCAAGACTGTTGGCTGTCCAGCGCACATTCACATTCGTGCACGCCGCCCACCTGCAAAATTTCGCACGTAAAACGGTAGGCGGGTCTGTTATGGCGCAGATCCGCCGGCCAACGTAACGGTGACCGTGCCCGCCACCTCCGGACGCCAGAAGTCCGACATTTTCCACGAGCAATAAAATTTACGGCAGGCCAGATACGGTCTAACGCAGTTACCGGCATCGCGCGGGAGCTGACCATCCCGCGGCCGCGCGCCACGGACCATAAACTGGCTCTATCACATCCGCCGGCGGAGGCAGCGGAGGCGGCCGCGCAGCAGCGGCGGCGTTAGCGGCGCCGCGTCGGGCTGGGCGCGGCACGGGCGAGGCGGGTTATCCGTGGCTCTGGCATTACCGCAGGCCCAGGAGGCGCGGAACCGAGACAAAAGCCGGGGCGCGCCGCCTCACGGAGACTCCCACATTAGCCACGGCTGGCTGGCGTGGCGCCGGCGCCGGCCGACGTTGCCTTTGTTTTGGGCGACACGCGTGCCAGACCGGGCGGCAGCGGTCTGACGGTCGCACTCCCATTTACCCGGCCGCCATAATTCACACGACACACTACGCCGGTGTGCCCGTGTCCCGGACGCGCCGAGGAGGAACCGGTGTCATGGCAGGCAACAGCTGCGCGCGGAGGCGGTGCGGGCCTGTCGGTGGTGACAGGCTTCTATCGCGCGTGACGTTGGCTTCCGACGATGTGCACGCGTCGAAGCAGCAATTTTTTCGTGTGAAAGAGGTGACGCATTACGCCCGTGGAAAGTCTTGTGTTTCTGACATTCTGACGAAACTCCGCCGCCATATCCATGGCTGAGATGTGTCGAATGTCAACGGTGGCGCACGCTGTCTGACCCGGCGGTCCAGGCCACGGTATTGGGTAAGCGGGTAGAGCGGTGACGCCCCCTCGTTTCGTGATTCAAGCCACCAGTGGCACTGACCCCGCCGTCGGTTCGCTCACCGGTGGCGTACGCCCAGACCCGCGCCCACCCCACAAATAGACGGATAAATTACGCGCATTAAGCCGTAAATCCTAATTTATGCCGGCACCCGTATTGACCCCTGGTTCTGGCTAATTTATATCTGGTCCGACCGCCCTCCGGTGGTGCAATCGCCGGACACACACCCGCCTCTGCACGGACTGTTGGCTCTCCCAGACGCACCCCGCTCTCCAGCGCGCGCGCCCACCACCGCTGAGAGGAGGAGCCTCCGCCAGGCCGACTACCCGCCACTGACGGGTTTGATTCACGCGCTGGACCGACGCCGTACAATGCTATCTGGCGAGGGCATCGCCAGCCGGGCGAAAGCGGTCGGGTCGCGACGCCTAAAACAATGCGCTGGTCGCGGTGGCCCGACCCCCGTCGCGAGGCGCCGCCGGGGGCCGTCGGCCCGGACGACGCGGCGCGTCGCTTTTGTGACGGCCGCGCCCGACAGGCCACCGGGGAGAAGCGAGACGCGAGAAAAACCGCCCGGCAGCGGGGCACCCGGCAGACCGGGGCAGGGTGCTCGCCAGTGAGGAATGCGGGGACGGGATGATGAACGCACGGAAGCAGGGGTCTTTAGATTACCAATTGCTGACAGATGCGTCTGATAGGATTTGGAGAGATCTGGAGAAAAAGGTGCCCATTAGAGGGGATCGAGATGGCTTTGAGTCCCAACGAATGGGCCCGTGATTAATAATGGTTCGGTCGATTTAACAAGTCCTCCAGGCAAGCTCTGACAAAATCTGGCAAATCGCTTTGTAAAGATCGTACTCAGCCACCCTTCTTTTGAAAGCCCATGAACGCCACCAAAAGTGAATCGATTTATATTCGTTATCTTGGCAGTCGGTTCCTGTTCGTGGCTGGCTAGACACTGGTATCAAGCTGAGCTCGACTGGAGTAATAAGCGCGACTTAAAGGATAAAGCGTAGAACCACCCACTCTGATTCCACATCCGTACATCATGGCAGCAATCCAGCGATCACCATGCCTTTGAGTGAGCAGAACGTGTCATGACGGGAACATCGACATTAACTCTGAGAGCAAACGCGACTTACCCGCGCACTAAAGCATGAACAACAGCATAATCAACTGTTTAAGTGCCACACTAAGTTCTCCAGCAGCGTAAATCACAGCTAACCATGATTTGTGCCGACAAAGAATTCGAGCTTCCGTCGTAAACATGTCTCTCTAAACAAGTGCGCTCGTTCAGCTCCTGCCTTTAAACCGCCTGACTACGCCGGTACCGCGCCGCGCAACGCGACCTGCTCACCACCATGCGGCCCGCGCGTCCCGAGGATGGACCAGCACGCACCTGCAGCTGCTGCGTCCACTCCATCCAGGAGGACGAGCCAGCCTCGGGCCGCGAGCTGTCCGTGGCCGTGGACGCCATGGACGTGTTGTGCGCGTCGCCCGTCTTCATCTCGTCCTCCACTTGCGTCGACTGCGAGGTCTTCACGCGCACGCGCGCCGGCACCGCGCCGTAGGCGGCGGCGGCGCGGCCGCTCGGCGGCGGCACGTACGGCGGCGGCCGCGGCTGCGTCGGACTCAGCACGACAACCGGCCGGCCGCGGCGGCGCCGGGTACCGCGCCGCCGCCGCCGTCGCTGGCGGCGCGCCGTACGCCGGGCTGACCGGGTAGGTGGAGTGCGGCGGCAGCGGCTGGTCCGGCGCCGGCTGGTGCGATCGCTCGCCGACCGCGCCCGGCGACGCCGGCGGCCGCTCGGGTGGCGCCGGGTGCGTCGGCGCCCGGTGTGGCGCGCCGTTCGGCTCCGCGCTGCGCAGCTCACCGCCGTCGTTCATCGACACGTTCCTGCAAGGGAGGCGCGTTCCCGTCATCCAAGCACACGAAAGGGCGACGCAGGTTAACAGACGCGACCGGGCGCGTGCTGCTCCGCTGTAAAAGCGGCCGCCAGCTGCGGCCTGTCGATTGCCCGGCATACGCTCGCAGCTTGGTGCCATTAATCTCCCTAAACGGCGGGCGCCCGCGGTGTCGCGGCCCGCCGCCCGGGCTCATTACGTCCGGTACAGTTACGCCGTGAAGCCGATCCGGCATTTGTCATCGTAATGGCCGGAGCGCGAGCTGTCTGGCCCGTCCGACACGTGTGCCGCTCAAAGCTCGCCGCCATCGCGCCTTTTGAGGTCACGGCTCGGCCGCGCAGCCTCCGGGATCGCCCGCGAGTGGCCCGCGTTCGCGCGCGCCCGTCCGGCACATGCCACGGCCACTCAGCGGGCCGGCGCTGGAGTGGCCGCGGAGTGGCGGAGTGGCCGGCACGGCACGACACGCCGTCTGGTCGGCGCAGGCCGGAACACGGCCGCCGCCGTCGTGGGAGCGCCGCAGAACTGAACTGGGAACTGAACTGGGAACCGAATTGCTGACCGAGACGGCATCGGCGCCGGTGTACTGCCGCCGCGGCCCGTCGGAACCGAGACGGCTCTCACGGGAGGAGGAGGCTCGCTGTTGAGTGTGACGCTTCCAAGAGACATGGGGATGTGGTCGAGCCGCATCAGAAATGCGACTCACAGTAAGGAACAAAATTAGTAGTCGTGACTTGGGTTGTTGCTGGGCACCGTTGACAGCGGAGTAGTCAGGCGCATTCCTAGCTGTTCTCCTTTGCAAGTGATTTCATATACTAATAGGGCTTCATGCAACCAGCTTAAATTTCATGCGCTGCAGGGATCGAAGTAATTGTTTATGAGAGTTGATGTGCCGTGGGATTGATCGGCGGGCTGTGCTTTTTCAGAGGAGGGTATTGCGGAACCGCACTGCAGCACAGAAAGCTAGCACCCACATTGCCATGACTGCGACGCTGCACAGAAAGACGCCCGGGCCTCACGGTCTCATACTAAACAATAATATTAAACGATACCTGCGTCTCATACTAAACGATACCTGCATCATATCCGGACGACCATTCGTACCAAACCTTGTTTTGCATCCGTTCTATAGCCTTCGCATTGCAAATCACACCATTTGCAATGTAATTTGCATTGCATACTCTGCTACACCTCCGCCAACGTACGTCGCAGCGCCCAAACCAGACCGACCACGCGGAGGAGGCGTTCTGCGCCACGCCATCGAGGTCGTCCTCTGGCGCCCTGATGCAGTTCTGCGTCAACCAGGAAGACGCTGCCATCGCCGTGATGCTACCAGCCTGCCATCACTATAACCTGCCTCAACACTGTCCGTCATCCAACAATCACAGCGCTGATATACTTGCACCAGCTTGCAAATCCGACATTCATACAGTCACTTCCCATTGAAGGGCTGAGACGCGACCAACAAACACCGGCTAAACCTAGCCAGCACAGCCCTACCAGCGCGCCCATCTCCACCCCCGGGCGGCCCCTCTCATGTCGGCGGCGGCAGCTGGCGTCCGCGGGGCGGCCGGGCCGGGCGGGTCGGGCAGATTCCTGCGAGCAGTCCGCTCCGCCCGTCCCGCCCCGCCGCCAGCGGTTCCCATGGGAAGGCGGCGGCGTGCGCCTGCTGCAGCCGGGTAATCGGCGTAATGGGTCCCGGTCAGTTGCGGGGCAGGGCGGATGTGGACGAGTCCGGTGCCGCGTCCGGGCAGGATTCGCTAACTGGGATGCGTGGGAATAGCCTGAGGCGGACGAAAGGAGGATCGGAAATGGGCGGGTCGAGATGGCCATTCAAAAAGATGGAGTGGAGCCGTT